GCACACGGAGCAGCTCCGTGGAGGAATGATGCTGCTGCGTCACCGTTAACACAGTCCCTTTTCAAAGGAAAACTCTGCTTTGAAGCATTTCCTTTAAGACATCTTTTATTGGGTACCACCTGCAGTGGGGTGGGAGGGGTAAGATCGAACCGTTTAAAGGTTGTAGGGATACAAGGGAGGGAAAAGCTTCCCACCCCCAATTTTTCTTTATTTCTTGAGTTGTGTTGTCTGTGGATGGCTGGTCCCATGAGACCAGAGGGGACGGGGCATGGGCAGCACCCAGGGAGCCTCCCTTCCTGGTGCCTTGGTCCCAAGAGGTGAACACGTTGCGATGGCATTTCCCTGCTGCCTGGGACACGGCATGAGTCCCGCTGTCCCACGTGGGGCAGGGTGGGATCTCCAGCCCCACGCAGGGATGGTGTTTTGTCAATAGACATCCCGGCTGTGGTTTTTAAGGGGTATGTATGTGCTTCTGCTCAGCGCTGAGCAGCGTGAGGGCTCTTGCTGGAAGCTGTGTTTATCCGGCGCGGTGGAGGGGCGGTGCAGATGGATGGACGTCTTTGGACGTTTTTGCCAGGCATGCAGTTCTTCCTTTTTTTCTTTTCTCTTTCTTTTTTTTCCTGGCCCTGAGCACAACGGGAAGCCTTTCATTCTGCATTGCTCAGTGGTGGAGCTGGATCAGAAGATTCATCATGGACTTGGCTCGGTCCCTCCAGCTTTCCCCAGCCCCATCTTTGCTAACTCCCAGCACCGGGGCAGAAGTCCGCTTTTGGGGAAGAAGGGTCCACTTTTGGTGATGGCAGTGAAACACGTCGGCTGGGTCCGGCCCGGCAGCCCCCGTGGTTGGGGTAAAGCACAGCAGGGGATGGACCGCCCCAAAGAGTTCCCGGTGTGAGCAGACAGGACCAGTAGATGGAAGACCAGGAAATACCATTAAAGTATTTTATAGATTAGGAACTGGGGGCTAGAGACACAACGAGGTGATTCCCACAAAAACTGAGCTGGGATCCCGCGAGCCCCAGACCGAGGTACGTACCCCAGGCCATGGCATGAGCTATGTAGTGAAGCCATGCTCGTTCCCAGCTCGTCTCGGAGCTGGAAGATGGTCAGACATGGGCTCAATCTGAATTTTTTAGTGAAGCAATTTTTTTTCCTCTTAAAATAGGGAGTTGCTGAAGCTGAATCTTCTCATGGGATTAGGTCAATTTATTTAATGCAGCACATTTTTAAGGAAAAGTTTTTATCGTGCCAACTCAGGCAAGAAATATGTTCAAAGAATTTTAGCATTCGGCTCGAACCACTATTTCATTTAAACATTTTAAGCTAATGAAAGTTGGGGAAAAAAAGGGTTTTTTAATTTAAAAAAAAAAAAGTGGCATTAAGAAGGGAACGTGTTGAAGTTATCTCAGTGGAAAATGTTTTCATGTTTTTCTTTTATGGAAGTTCATAAGTTTAGTTTTTGTCATAATTAAGGACAAGAAAATATCTGAAAAGCTTTCACGGGGCACACAGATAATTAGCCAGACAATTCCTGCTGGTCTTTCTCATCTCCAAGTCCAGCTGCATTTTCCCTAATGAAATTTTCTGCTACAGCAAAGGTGGAATGTGAAAGTTCAATATTATGGATCGGCTTTGCTCACGAGAAGAGAGGAAACCGGCCAGAACCCACACACTGGAAAAGAGATGAATGAGAGCGGTATCACAGAGGTCTATAAAATCATGGGGAACCTGAGTAAGGCATGACAAACATGATGGTCTAGATGAAAAATCACATGCAGGAACATCAATGCTTGCAAGGTAGATCAGGTGAAGGACTTGTGATACCTGCCCGTCCCTTCTGTCTTTTCTTTCGGGAGCTCCCCGTTTGCTCTGGGGTATCCACTTGTGTTTGTGCTTTTTCTGTCCCTTTGGGTTAAGGAAGAGAGGAGGTCAGCAGGATCTTTGCTGGATCTCCCCGTGCCTTTGCTTTCCCCAGCCTTTTGCTGCCACCTCCTTCTCCAGGAGGGCCCGAGGAAAGCTGAGCTGCGTACATCGGTGTAGCAGTGGCTCCGCTGTCATTAGAGGATAAATGACACTGTCTCCATGGCCGGGGAAAAAACCAAATTAAACCCCACCATCCTCGGCAATTGATGGGCCGGCTGCCGAGCCCTGTGTCACAGCTGATTTCTCATGAACAATCAGGGGCAAATTGTATCTCTAATTTCTGTCACAAATGTTTTTGCTATGCAAAGGGACAAATAGGAGCAGGGAGAAGAAGAGAGAGCGCTTGGCCTGGCCTTCAGCCTGATGGTGAGGGAAGGCTGTGACGATGCTAACGCGCTCCTAGCAAGGTGGTGGCTAATGGAGTTGCATTAAGCAACAAGAAATGGCCAGATAAGCTGCTTTATCTGGCTATAATAACACACCCTCCCACTAAAATAAGGCAACTGTGAAGGAGGGTGAGGAGGGAAGTGAACTGCCGGTGAGAAACCCGGCACAGGAGACCATGCTCCCCGATGGAGAGCCACACCAAGCGTGGGGAGATCCGTCGTAAAGCTCTGTAAGTGTGAAATTGTTTAATTGGGCTTGCCAGAGAGGGGCTGGGGATGCTGTGGCATTCGAGGTGGCCGCTGCGGGTGACACTGAGCTGAGACATTCAGATTGTAGCAATAAGCAGGTACCGACTTTTGGCACTAATCTGACTACAATAAATTTGAGGCGTATTGACCGCAGTGGAAGTCTAGATCGATATCAGTCTTCAAGAGGCTCAATAGCTCAGTGTTTCTTTGATACAGATAAAGAAAATAGAGGGTAGGTGTTTCTGGCATTCCCTGCATGCAGTATTATTATTCTTCGCTGATCCTTCTGCCGAGGTAGGGGAGGGGAGCGAGAAGGAAGGTAAGAAAGGATTTAGAAAGATAATTCACAAGATATTTAAAAAGCAGTTGTAGGAATGAGATTTATGGCATTTTTTTCATCAGTTTTAGGCTGAAAAGAGGAAGAGAAAGATCTTCATAAAAACGTATTGTCCTTTGAAAGACAAATTCCTACCAAATAGTGGCCTTGGGCTTAACGTGGTGCCCATGGCAGGGGGATCGCTGGCTCGTGGCCGTGTTTGCTTAGGCTTTGGCGAAGAGGGACGTGCGGGTGTTTCACAGGTCCCCGATGCTTTCTGGGGGTAGAGATACTCATGCCTGGCTCTAAATGCTTTAAGGCAGCTGGTGGCGAGATGGTTAAACCAGGGCATGTGGAAATGCTGGAGAGGAGGGCACAGAGAGAAAAGCCATTTATTTCTCTTCTTGAATAAATCAGTCGGTCCTGTTGGGGGCTGCGAGTGACTGAGGTTTCAGCTTCACCATCAAGCCAGTCCTGGCATTTCTGGTGCTGCTGGGGTGAGCACAACTCTGCTGATTTATCCCCTTGAACAAATAATCCAAAGTTAAGAAACCTGATGTTCTTACAGTGGTTTTTTTTTAAAAATCCATTTATGTATTTTTTTTTTTTTTTAAATGACGAGGTCCATCAATCACCCGGAGCGACTTTTTGATGTTGGCCAAATTTTAGGGGAAGGCTGTTGCAGGGTTTTCCTCTGCTCCCTGTCCCCGTGCCCCGCGGAGCGACTTTGATGTTGGCCAAATTTTAGGGGAAGGCTGTTGCAGGGTTTTCCTCTGCTCCCTGTCCCCGTGCCCCTCCCTGTCGTGGTAGGAGGGTGATGGCACCACTGGGAAACCGCCAGGAGACTCTCTGTCAGAGACTTCATGGTTGGGGTTGTTTCCAGTCAAAATCCTGGGTCCATCAATCACCCGGAGCGACTTTTTGATGTTGGCCAAATTTTAGGGGAAGGCTGTTGCAGGGTTTTCCTCTGCTCCCTGTCCCCGTGCCCCTCCCTGTCGTGGTAGGAGGGTGATGGCACCACTGGGAAACCGCCAGGAGACTCTCTGTCAGAGACTTCATGGTTGGGTTTGTTTCCAGTCAAAATCCTGAAGTTGTGAAGGTCGAGGTAAAACAAGCCACCCTCAAGCCATCGGGGTGCATTGAGGGGACTTGGACTGCAGGGTTGTCCTCGTCCCCGTGTCCCGGCTCGTCTCCATCAGGTGAAGGGAGCCTCTGCCAAGCTGTTGTCATCCTTAATGCATTGTCGTCCCAAAGCTCAGCCACCCTGGCAATGCCTGGACTGGAAAGCAGCAGGAGGTCGCAGCGGGTTGATTAATGTCGCAGCGGTTTGATGGCATTGCAGCAGGTTGGCTGAAGGGACCCGGGAGAGCGGGCATAGCCCACTCGTGCCGGCATGGGGACACGGGGGGACTTGCAGAGGGCGCTTGGCCACGGAGGTGTTCCCCGCGCCGGCAGGGAGGAGGAAAGGTCCCCTCCTCTCACCCCTCGTGGGAAGCTGTGACCTTACTGTGGCGCCCACGGGGGACAGCAGAAAGTTTAAAGCACAGCACATACGGTCGGAGAGGTGCTACCGAGACAAAGTTGGGCAAAACCCAGCTGCTCTGCAGCCTCGGCCGGAGGTCAGCGAGGTTCCTCCATCGGACCCGGGGACCCTCCCCAAGGCCCCCGTGGGCTCCCACCGGGGGTGAGGTCCCAGTGGAGGCGGCAGTGCCCGGCCCTCGTGACAGGCAGTTTTGTTCCCTTCTCCTTGCACTCAGCTCTGCAACAGTTTTCCCTAAGAGCTGCCCGTGTCCGAGGGGAGAATCAAAGGCGCCTGTGTGACCCTCGGGTTGGGGCTGCGCTGCCGCCGCTGCCAAAGGTGGTCTGCAGCCCGGTGGGAAGATTAGATGTCGCCCTTGGAATGCGTGAAGGTCGCCGGATCCCATTACTGAAGTGATGTGTACGGATCCATCCTGACACGTCCGTTTGTTAGCAGAGAGCACGCAGTTCGATGGGGAAGCCGGGTATAAACATGTAAATGGGAAAAGTATTTCCGAGCAGAATGGATGGGACCTTCGGAGCATCTTTCCCTGTGTCTATATTTCTTTCCTTTCCTTTTCCCATCCCCCCTTCTCCTTGTTTCACAGGACTGGCTGACGAAATTTGGGTATCTGCCTCCTCCGGATCCTGTCACAGGACAACTGCAGACGCAGGAGGAGCTCACCAAGGCCATCACTGCCATGCAGCGGTTCGGGGGGCTCGAGGCGACGGGTGTCCTAGGTCAGTGGCCCATGAGCCCTTGGGGGGATGGCTCCTCGCAGATCCGGGGAGGAGAGGGGACTTGGCGCTGCGTTGTGGAGTAGCATCATCTCCAGGAAAACCTCACGTGGGTGTAACATACAGCCCAGTTTGCAGCTGTAAGAGTAATTACATGGCTCAGGTGCTTTGTTGCTTTGTACTTTCAAGAACCTGAGGCAAGCAATTATTTCACCAGACCCACACACCCTTGGGGTTCCCGTCATGCTTAAAACAGCTTAAAATAGCTCTTGGTGTGCTCAAAAACAAAAAAAAAAAAGAAAGAAAAAAAAGACAGGGAAAAAAAAAGACAGAGAAACTAAGGATGATGGGTTGTCCTGTTCAAAGCCTTAATTGCAGCATCACATTGACTTGAACAAAAATCCTGATTAAGCCTCCCAGTTTCTATATGTAGATATTCTGGTTTCTTCACCGCTGGGGCACAGCGCAGGGGAGGGAGGAAGATGGTGTCGCATCACCCCAGCGCTGCTCGCTCCTGCCCACGGCGCGTAGAGCCACGAGGTGTCTGCGGAGCTGGCGAGGGCCCCCTTGGCTCTCGCCGAGCCACAGCGGCTCCGGGCACCCCCCGGCCGCCCCCGGCCACCTGAGAGCCC